TTGTTCAGAAAAGCTAAAGATGACTTGTGTCCAGGCTATCACTATCAAAGGGAAACCACAGCAGACACACATTTCATCTCATCAAACATTAATTCTTCATTTCCACACACTCACAAGCGAAAGAAAGAAGGAAGGAAAAACAGTGCACTAACCAGGCGGAACCATTCAAAATGATTTGCGAAGCTAAGCAGAATGCCTGCAATGTCTTCAGTCTGGAGTCAGTGTGCAGTGTTAAAGTCAGACAGCTGTGCAACTCGTTGTGAGTGTGTGATAGGGGGCTCTTTCCAGTTGATTGCCAAATCGTGAAGTACTGCATGAGCAAAGATGATGTTGTTTGCCTTCTTTGGGCTGGTTCACAGTCCAATACTGAGGTAATTAAAGCAGCCGTTTAGGACACAGAAAGCCTGTAGAAATGCCTTTGTGGTTTCTGTTAAATTGTACCTCTGCAAGTGAAGTGGGCCTTCAGAAATAAAAGACACAGTTTTGTACACAAATAGTCACAGTGGCATGCATAGACTAATTTACATTGCTGTGTTAGGCCTGAAATAAGTGTAAATAAACTATATATATACACACACACACACACACACACACACACACACACACACACACACACACACACAGACAGACAGGACAGGAGCTAGCATCGTGTAGGACCCCCTCTAGTCCGGTGAAGTGCAGCAACTCGACGTGGCATAGATTGTGGACAGAATATGTCTAGTGGGATGTTGAGCCATGTCGTCTGAATAGCCACCCACAGCACTGTGGTGTTTGTAGGTGCAGGATCTCTGGTGTGAATGGACCTGTCCACCATATCACATAAATGCACGATTTGGCCAAACATGCAGGCCACATCAGTCGTTGGAACTCTCCGGAATGCTCTTCAAACCAATTCTAGACACCTTGGGCATGATGGCATGGTGCATTATCCTCCTGGATTATCCATCTCATCATTGTAAGGGTACGTGAAGTCCATGAAGGGCTGCAAATGGTCACCAAGCAGTGAAACTGTCAGAGACGTGTTCAGGTGGACCAATGGACCCAACCCATGCCATAAGAACACACCCCACACCAGTATGGAACCACCACCAGCCTGCACAACTGGGGTCCATTGCTTCATGGGGTCTGGACCACACACAAACCCTACAATCAGCCCAAAACAATTGGTACAGTGACTTATCGGACCACTGTTGCCAGTTCTCAGTCCAGTTAGCAACCTCATGAGTCAGGTGAGGCACTGTGTCTGGTGTCATGGCATTGACAGAGGGACTCTGGTGGGTCTTCTGCTCTCGTGTCCCATGGAAGCTAAAGAACGCTGCACTGACTTGCGGGATATGCGTGTAGGGCCTCCTGCATTGAATGTGGATGTGATTTCTGCCAGAGTTGCTTGTCTGTTTGCACAGAGAATTCTAGCCAGACACCACCAGTCACGATCATTAAGCACCCATGGGCAGCTACTGCACTGTCCACTGTGGGTGGTAATGCATGTATTCCCAGTACACGTGACACTGTGGATTGAGTAAATGTTAATTTGAGTAATATATCGCCTGATAAATTTGAAAGATTTTATATAGCAAAATATGTCCTTTTTATGCAGTGTTTGGTTTTAGTTGGGCTGATAATGATGTAATTTGACAGTATATCCGGTTTAGCAGAAGTTTAAGGGTGGATCAGGTAGACTTGTGCTTGTTTTGACAGAGCAGTCAGCTTTAATTTAATGCGCAGCTGCGTGAACCCACGAAGTTACCAGTTTAAAGTGCTACTAAGTTAATGACAATTAACTTAGCAATTTTGTACGTTTTGCTTTACATTGTTTCAGTGAAAGTATTTATTTGAGTTGAATAAAATCAGTTTAATTGATTGTTACCACATTTTTTTCTATGAAATATTTTATTGTGCAGAAACAATCAAAGTAATAGAAAAAAAAAAAGTCCAGCACTTTACATTATCTGGCAAAGAGATTAAAATATATAAGCTTACTCTACCTGGTCATCATTTGGCCATGTGTTCTCATTCACATCACACCTAAAGTCCTCTCTTGCTTATAAACTGAGCTGGACTCATAAAGGACCATCCATTGTGATCAAAATAAATCCAGAATTGACCTCTTTTATAGACGGTCAGTACCTGGATAAGGTTCAGCTCAGTTGTCATTTGCTCTTTTTATGTACATTCAATCATTACTTTGTCTCTATATCATTTATTTATTTATTTATTTATTTATTTAGGCTTTGTTTGTTCAATGTAGTATTTGTGAATAAGCACACTGATTTGCAGTTTATGTTTATGCTATTCTGGAGTCAGGAGTAACAGTTTTGAAACAGTGTTTGCAAGCATTTGCAGTTTGAGCTACAGAAATTTAGTTTTGTGAACTAACTATTCAAATAATTTAGGAAGCAGTGGTCCCTGAATGCATACTGTATTCAAACAAGGAAAAACTTGTTCATGGTTTGATCCAAGTGCCAAGAGCACTGAATTGACCATGTGATGAGTTTTGAAAAAGAGAACTGTATTGAACATGTTTATTAGCAGTTGTAAAAAAAACTGTGATATCTCTGTAAGATCAGATGAGGCAATAATGGCTGTGTTTATTTACAACGGAACTAAGAAAACACAACGAGAAAACACAATAAGAATGCATTATAATACACAAAATATGCATTATAAGTCTTATATGGCTCCTTTTTGTCCTATCTAATGTGTATTTTTGTATTTTCGCAATATATTTTTGTGATGTTTACTACTGTAGTTATTTCACAAGGATTACAATGCATAAGTCATTATACTACAAATCTGTATGAATATAAATGATTTTACCCTTGCCAAGAAGCCTCAGTAGGTAGTCTAATAGCTGAATATTTTACACTTAATTAATTAAAATATATTATCTTGAGTTTGCAGGGTCCCATATAAAGTAAAAACAAATTACGATTCAGTTTGCCATTCAAATGGGTAAAATTCCAGTCATATATTGATTGTTGTGAAAAACATGTGTTATCACATGATGTGTTAGGCTAGTGCAGACATTACTCATTGCGTGAAAACTCCTGACTAAGAAAAACATATTTGTGGGTTTAGGTCATGGCTGCTAACTGCATTTATACTGTGTTCACGCTGTGTTAGATTGTGCAGTTAAGATTTTTACAATTTATCCAGTGAGAGTAAAATAATATCAAACATGATGAAAACTTGAAAAAATGGAGACATGGTTGCACCCACACACACACATCGTCTAAGCCGCTTCTCCTTCTGGGTGTGAGAGCATCCATTTTGTCAAAAAAAAAAAAAATTCAAGAAAATAACACAGGACCTCCACCAAGTGCAATATTGTGTCTCTTATGGGGATTTTGAACTCTCATGCTGTTTCTCTGAAGGAATTTTGAGGAGAATCACAATTATGTCTCCTGACCAATCAAAGATCAACATTTCACCAGAAACATTTTTCTTTAGGCTGACCAAACACGGTGGGACCATATTTACAGTGTCATTCTCCTGATTTGTGAAAAGATCATCTATCAATGTTAAAAAATATATATGTTTGGCTTTTACAAAATGTTCAAATGTTTTCTATTCCCACTTGTTTAGACGTAGAACTAGAATATAAAAGAGCGAAGAAAATAATAATAATAATTTCCTTTCTCAACATAAGTTTTGATTAAAGTAGTTCAGATTTGACTGTGCCCTCTGTCCAGCTTCTCTCATTGTCTTGCTGTGAACAAGAACATGGCTGATCAGTTTTAGACACATCTCATCTGTAATGTGGTCTTTTGCGTGTTGTCTTCCTTCTACATTTCTTGACCACTCTGCTCCAGCCTCCACTCTTCCTCTGGTCCTTTTTTTGGTTTACATTTCACCAAAAATTACTAAGTCCCTTTTTGTGTACACAAACCCCGTTATCAGTGTTTGTTTTCATCTTTAGAAATATATATATGAGCTTTTAAGCTTGTTAGTGTGTAAATCACAAACGGCAGCAGTGTGTTTCATTATAGTACTGGGGGTTTTGTGCATTGAATGGCAGTGATTTCTGTATGATGCATGTGGGAATACAGTGCTTTGTGATGACACTTGTGTTTACTGATATTCAAAACAATGTTTAGGAGATTTGCAGTGTGTGTGTGTATCTGGAGATTACTGCCTACACATTTGGAGTCGTCCTTTTGGCAATTGATGGAAGTTGGTTTTGGAAACTGGGTTTAGAGTATCAGTTTGTGTGTTTGATTGAAAAAAACTGCAAGTTTTTTAGAAATGGAGAAAAACTGGAGCATGGCCTGTGCTACGCCGAGTTGAGAAAGAACACCAGTGGCAGGTGTGAATGTTTCAGCAAGGATATTACTTGTTCAATTATGTTCCAAACACACAAAACAAAAACAGAACTCAAAGCTGGCCAACTCTCTGTGGCTTCTAGCTAGACTTTCCAGTCTTTCTCTAAAAGCCAAGCTTCTCCTTACGTCCTCCCCCTGCCGTCTCACATGGCTGCCATCAGCATGAAAGGTACATGCACTGCCTTTCCGCCGCCAAGGGATGGGCGTATGGCAAAAACTGTAATAAGAATGGCAGTAAAAACAGATTGGATCTCATAACTACATTCTCACTTACCTGTATTTCAGTATATTAGAGGCCATTTCTGTGAGGTAGAGAGAGAAAGGGTGAATTGGAGAGGAGGGAAGAGAGTTAACTGGGAGGCAGGGATATAGAGATAAAGAAGAAGGAAGAGAGAGAAACAGGAAGAATGTGGGAGAAAAGAGAGGGGGGGGGCTGGGAAAAATTAGCAGATAATTTGTTTCTCTTTGGGCAGATGATGATGAGGCTGGAACATTTCCTTAATCTTAATTACGGAAGTAAAGTTACTCTAAAGATCGTATGTATATATATATTTCCTAAATAATGTAACACAACAATGCAAACTGTCATAAAATACAAAAACAACTAAACATAAGAGACTTGCATAATAACATAACCAGAACATAACCAAATGATTTGTCTTTGTTCTCTCTCTACAGAGTCCAGTGATGTGTTCAGATTGGTTGGCAGTTCCGTTCAACTGGAGACACAGCGTCTTGTACCGAAGTTTGATGAATTAATCTGGGTGTTTAACAAAACTAATAATGTTCTAAAATATTATAATGAAGGTAAAACTAGGCAGTTTTCTGCTTATGAAGGCAGAGTGGAGTTCAATGAGGAAACCTACAGTCTGACACTGAAGAACTTACAGAAGACTGATAGTGGACTGTATGAAGCAAAAGCAACTGGTGATGTAGACAGAGTTGTTGCTGAGTACAAAGTCTCTATGTTGGGTAAGTCTTACAGTGTGGGATTCAAATGCAGGACAAAACCATTCCTGACACAAAACTGCTGCTTTCAGTCAAAATCATATGCTTCTATCCTTTATTTAACCATGTACATACAGTGTTATACGTCTGCTGAGATCTAATGTCTTGTCAACAAGAGAGGACTGATCATTTATAATTTAAAGGGCATTCATAATCAGTGTTGGAGTACTACAGTGTTACTTAAACAAAGTGATTCATTACAAATGACTAATGACTTCTCTCAGACTGTAATAGGATTAATTTACTCATTACTTCCTGTTTATAATCTGATGTTAATGAAATCCCATATAGATCTGGAACGTACAAGAGAAAATGCAGCAGTCCTTTCAGTACTTTATTTAGAAAGAATCAGCCAAGCACAGTAAAAAAACACATTTAAAGGATGTCACTAGGCCTGCCCTTACTCTGAAAAAACATGCCTGTAATACTTGATTAAAATGATGAAAACTTTGAAAACTGTTTAAGTTAACACTGTATTTTCATTACAGTGATTTGAGTCACGTTCTTCACCAACTGCCTTCTTTGGGGGCATTGCTAAAATTCAAGCAGGTTGAGGTGCAAAAAGAAAGGGAAAGGGAAAAAGAGAAAGTGTATATAGAGCTTTAGAACAGTTCTGAGCCTCAAAGCAGCCTCAAGAAAAGATATATATTTATATATATATATATATATATATATATATATATATATACATTCATTTATTAATCTTCCATTATATCTTCCCCTTGGTGTGTATTCAAGTCTTAAGTAACACAGATGGTTACCACTACCGTGCCACATATTAACAATCGGATTGTTCACTGTTCAGCTTGTCCAGAAGGAGAGCAAGCAGAGCAAGCAGGATGTTTATTGTCTCTTGCCACATTACACCATGTTATAATGTCGTGTTTGATGTAAATGATCAAATCAAATTGGAAAAATGGCTAATCATTTTGCATGACGGCAACGTTAAGTTCATATATATGCTGCTTAAAGTTTTTGCATATTCAAAATTTACAAAACTCTTTCCAGCATCCCTGATACAGTGAGTATAATTAGAGACATATGATTAACGCAAGTAACAGATTTCTTATTAAATCACTTACACTTCTGCATTACAGGAGAACATAATCACTGTAACTTGTTGCTTTATACAACGTGACCCCAATACTGTTCATAATATTGGTGTAAATTAATCAAACATAATAGAAAATAAAGCATTTGTGTATAAATAAAATATTATCAATATAACTCTGCTATCAGATGAACTAGGGCACTGTTGGCTCTGTGTGTGAAATATTGTGACTGTGTGTTGAGCTGCTAGTGAGCAGGGAGGAGTGAGATCCCCTTGCTGTGAAAACAGTTCACACATCTCTACAACCATGGCCATGCTGAGACAGTCAGCACAACTGCAGCTTTCTTCATATAAAAAAATTATGTACAACTGACATAATAAAATTTACATTTTAAAACAATTTAAACACTATTATAAACATTGACTTGCTTGCTCACCAATGAAGATAAAAATCCAGTTCACTTATAGTTTTGTAAATCAAACGCCTTTCCATTGGAAAATATGAATGTAGCGTTAAGATGGAAAAAGCGTAGTGCAAAGTCTGAAGGATCTCCAAAACAGGTGGGACTGTGAAAAGAGGTTAATGAAACTTTTAGGATTTTTAGTCTGTGTATCCTTAGTATTGTGTATTATGTTTATGTTCTCAACCATTGTAAGCATTTTTGGGTGCTGTGGAATTATTATTATTATTATTATTATTATTATTATTAATGTTGTTGTTGTTGTTGTTGTTGTTGTTGTTGTTGTTGTTAAGTAGTCATATTTGAGTCCAGGCCTCTAAGACTAAGTTTATTGAACTTCACCGTGTCCTGAGACAAACAACCAGAAACTGAAGTCACTAATTACTAATAATTATTCAAACTCATTTACTGTTGTCTGGCTTTCAGTGTGATTACCTGCACTGCAGTGATCTGTATGTATGTGTACCTCAGATCCAGTGGAGGCTCCAGTCCTGAATTACCAGCTAAGCAACGACACGTGCAACATCACTCTCACCTGTAGAGGTCATGACCGCTTTATCAACTCCAACTGTTACAAGGAAACCTGTGAGGAGAAGGAAGTGACATCACCTGGAGGTGTCACCCTTTCCCTGTCTGTCAGTGGCAGCACCATCATCTGTAACCATAGCAACCCAGCCAGCTGGAAGACGGATATTTTGAAGATGAGAGAACTTGAACAAAACTGTGCTGATGAAGGTACATACATACACACACACACTCACACACACACACACACACACACACACACTCAAACACAAACACATCCCCATTATTGGAACCTATTCTGTGCTTCTGCTGTAAAATTAATAACAATCTTTTCCCCCCATTAGGAGGAGATAATCAGAACCAGCACAGTATCGCAGTCTTAAGTTGGCTGTTGTCTCTCATGGTTGTCATAGTGCTCACCATCATTGCAGTTATCTTCTGCTATAGATGGAGGAAGTCAGAAGGTATTTTTTTTCAAATGCATGTGCAGTGTGAATGTAAGCTTCAAGTAACTAAAGTTTGTTGTCAGGGCTCAGGAAACAGACAAAATTAAAAGTACCAATCTTGAAGGGGTGGGGTGGGGTCTCCTTTTTAACCGCCCACTAAATCGTCTTTGTTTTATTTTCTTGATCCGGTGAAATCAGTCGTTTTTCAGTATGTGACTATGTGATGACATGATGTGTCACTGTCATTGTGATTGGCTGTGTCATGAAACTCATTGCTCTAAACATTTTTATAGCTGAAATGATCCTAAGATTTTTATTTATTTACTGTGGTTTGAATTTAAATTTAAATTAATGGTTTAATTTATTTACTTAATTTATTTGCTGTTATTGAACTATTTTTGTCTCAGCCTCTGTACTTAGTGATTTGTGCTATACCTTTCAAGATTTTGTCTTTCCTTCATTTTTCATAAATTAAAAGATGAAAACAAACAGGATGTTGAACCTGAGATCAATCTCATTAGGTGAGTTAGAAAAAAACGATCGGCTCAGATAAGTTTTCCATTGAAAATTTGTGGTCAATTATGTGGGCCGTGCAGGCCTGGTGGCAGGATTAATTTGGCAAGCGGGAAAAAGAAATGATTGAGGGGCATGAATGCTTTTACCCAGTGAACAGCAGGCAATATAGGCTTTTCCATTTGTAATACCTAACAACGCTCAAAGGTTCTTCAGCATTACTATTACAACGCAACACAATTGAATAGAAATATTATAGCTAACAAAACATTAAAGTTACATTTACTAAAAAATAGTGGTGTTGTCAAGCATGGAAATGAGTTTGAGTAGGCTACCTTGCAGAAAAATAAATAAAAAGTTTTCACAGGTTTCAGTACGATCAGCACATTCATTAAAAATATCCAGATGAGCTAATTAAGCTGAATATTAGTTGGCTACCTGGCTAACTATCATAAGCTAGATTAGCAGGATAGCTAAATTTAGTATATTATTTCCTAGCAAACGTATATCTAAATATGACTATATTAAAAGCATGTCTTCAACCTTCAACTCGGATTTTATGTAGTTCTCTGTTACGTGGAAAGGGTAATCAAGCAACCAAGCTGATTAATTTTAGCTATTATGTTTTAGCTAACAATAAGTACTGCTAGCTAAGTAGCTGTTTCTAACTTGAAATGTAGCCTATATTTAAAATTACTTGGCCAGTTGGCCTTCAACTTACCTTTTACCACAATTATTTCTTACTAAATCTTTACAAAACCTTCTAAAATCTATGTTAATGTGATTTTGCCACATTCATCAACATGTAATGAGGTCACACACATGAAATACGCTTGCAAGTGAAGCTCCAGATGGCTGCCAAAATAGACACAATGAAAGAAATGAAAATAAAGAAACAAAGAAAAACAAAATTCTATGAAACAGAGCTGTGAATTTTAAGGGTAGAAGTGCTAGCAAATAATATTTAATAATTTTTTCTACAGTTGAAAATTAAATTACTATGGCATCACTCTTGATCACAGGAATTCAGTTTACGTGTGCAAAAATTTAAGTATTTAGTAAGTAAGTATTTAATTTTTGATATCAAGAGTTCTATTTGCACTTTATAATGTCAAAATTCCACTATTAAGTATTCAATTTCAAATAGTAAAAATTCATTTATTTGTATAATTTTTTAACTAGTAAATGTAATTTTTACATGTGTACATTGAATTCTTTGTTACATCTATTATAAATAAAAAAAAAAATAGGAATAAAAGCTAAAACTGCCATAAAATCATATAAAAAATAATGTAGTTACAGTCTCAACATGTCAAATTACTCTTCACTGATTTGGATTGCAAGCTTAACTTAATTTCCGTAAACAGGAGTAGATTTGTGAAATCAAATTTGACTCAAGAAGAGGCCGATTTAAGCACAGTACCAGTTAAATCTGCCAATCTGTAATCCTTCTTAAGCAAGTCTTCTATTCTTACAGCAGCAGGTAAAAGGTTTACCAGGGAAATTACCAATGGAGTGGGCCAGGCATTAATTTTTGGTGGGATTGTGTTGTGTTATGAATCGCTACCGCCATATGTAAATGAGATAAAAGCCCGGCTCGGGGCTTATATAAACTCACATCACACAAGCATTGAATAGCTTATCTAAACTCACATCACACAAGCATTGAAACAGAAGGTAGTCCTTGTTCATGAATTAGAAACCATGTTACCACTGCATTATTAACTCTTAACCTCACTGTAAATCTGCTGCCGCATGTTCATAAAACATTCGGGACAGGCTGGTGTGGATCTCACAAGTGTGGAACAGTTTGAAATGGTGTATCATGTTAAAGTCCACCTTTACTCATTTACTCCTTTACTCTTTGTGAAATGTCTGTTAGTGTCTAATCATAGTAACTTTGCATGTAACACACTGTGCGTCTGTAATGACGGCTGTTTTGCAGTTAGACAAAATGGCTTTAGAAGTTTAGGATTGTGTTTACAGTATATTTTTCTTTTTTTGTTCAAAACTGCATAGGTGCCACACAGTGTGAGAACACAGTCTATGCAGAAGTTGAGGTAAGATTTTAATAATTCTTATTCCTGTAGACATTTAGACATTAATGACAGAAAATACTGTAATTCATGGATTTAAGGTTTATATTGTGAATTTGTGCCATATCTTCTTCTATGGAAGATAACATGAAACACAAGATATTATAATTTGATAATGATGATAATGATGATAATCATGTTTACAGAACAGTGGTGCAGCAACACCACCTATTGTGCTGGAGAGTCCTTCTACTGTGTACCATGTTGTAGGGAAGAAACCACAACCTACAACTAATGGACAGTCCAGTCAGACCCCAGTTCCTGAAAATGAGGTGAAAATGGCCAGCATATACAAAAAGTTGTCATTGAAATTGATTTCTGATAGATCATTCATAATGAGTTGTTTGATGCAGTTGGATCTGTGAGCTAGAGGAAAACATTTGTGCAACAATTCTTGGTCATTTTCTAAAAGGCCTGATTAGAGCTGTAGTGTAGAAAAAGCTGTCTGCTTTGTGTAGAATGGCTATGAGTCTATAAACAGTGGTCAGTTTTGCATGGAACGCTATTTGGCAACAGAAAATACTGCAACTCTCAGAACTCCTCCAGAGTTCGCCTAATGATTTTCCATGTTATTATTTCTCAAATTATTTTTTGAATCAGAGTAGAATAAGATCCATGAAGAATGTTTTGGTGAGAAAAAAAATATTTATTAACTCTGCTGCCTCTTTATTACTGAACTTGTATTTTCTCTTTAGCCCCAAGCTTGTTGACATCTCCTCTATTTTATTGCACCATTTAAGCCTTGAGTCTCACTAACCAGCACAATTAGTACACAGTTGCATGTGCAGTTTGTGTGATTAGCTAAAGGCTTAGTAAATGGAACATTATTGTCAGATGCATTCAGAGGGCACACTGCAGCCACATCAAGGCAAGTTTTGTGCTCCTCTGCTTCTCTGTGTGAATTCAAATGTATCACTGACTGTGTCTTATAAAGTACTGGGTAAAGGTCAGAGATCACCTTTCATTTTTCCAGTCAAAAATGCAATTAAGTACAAGTTATTTATTTTCAGCATCAGGAAATAAAGCAGAAAACATTTTTTTTTAAAGTTACGTCTCAACAACAAAAGTTTTTCAATATTTTGTGAGTCCACACTTTGCCTTTATTACAGCTTCTATTCTTTTCAGGAGTCTGTCTTTAAGTTTTTCTGCAAGGGTATTTTTCCACAACTCAGATGAGTTTTGCATTTTCTTCTTGTCAAACTCAAAGAATCCCAAACACATTCAATAATGTTGAGGTCTGGACTCTGGGGTGGACAGTGCATTGTTCTGAGACCATCAGAAGCTTCTTTGTCTGATTTTCTCAGTACACATCCTTTGCAGAGCCATAGAGCTGAGGTGTCTTCTCACAATGGAAGGATGGACTATGTTATGTTATACTTTTATTGATCCTACAAAATTACATTGTCTTTGTCATTTTGCTGTCTAACTATACAGTACAACATCACCAGAAGAGCAGTGGAGGGTTAAGGGATACTCAATCTGTTCTAGCATTTGAACCTCTAACCTTCCAGTTGCTGGCTCTCCTCTCCTACCACTAGACTACCAGCCACCCCATCTGTGGATTTTTCAGATTTGAAGTAAGAGTGGAGCTTGATTTTCTCTTCTCTCTCAAAGAGGAAAGCTTTACATAATGTTTATAAGAAGCAAGCGGAGTTGATAGTCTACCAGGACTTGCATGGTTGTTTAGAGCTCCATCTTCTCTGTATTTTTTTCTGTATCCAGTTTTTGAAGCTCTTGTTTTTTCACTTATTTTCCTTTGACTCCCCCCTTATTTCTCTAATCTCCTCAGAAATATCTCCTGAAAAATGAATAACTTGTGCTTAATGGATGTTTTGAAAATTAAGTAAATGAAGGGTGGTCTCTGATTTTTGCACAGTACTGTATTTAAATAATCTGTAAAACTGAAAATGTAAGAAAATGTATTTATGTATGTATAACAGAAAGTCTCTATACAATTATTTCCCAATTTGTCTCTGTCAAACCTGTTTACATTTTGATTCTGATTTATTGCTATAGCCTGTGATCACATTTAAGGATTTCACTTGACTATTTTTTGTTTGCTTGATTAAGTAACAGCACTATTGAATCTGAGCCAGTCCTTCAATCTTGCAGTAGACGCTTATATATGCAGTAGGTTTGAATTACACATGGTTATTGCAAATATTATTTTTTATTCATCATTATCATATCTTTTCTTGAAACCTTTCAGCAGCAGGCGACCTCACCAGACCCTGGAGTTCCTAACACCTATGAATCAGTTCCAGATCAGGTAAGGACAACTAATAGCACATTCATTCAATTGTAGAGCTTTATAGAAGCTTCACTATTGTTATCCAAAAAGGGTTTGTGATACATTTGTTGGCTGAGAAAACCTGTAAATGTGCTTCATTGTATGATAATTCTTTGATTTGATTATGGATCTGCAAACCCTTTGAATGTTAATTAGTTGTGCTTTTTTTCCGTCCTTTTAATCACATAGATGCAGCCTACGAAGCCTGAAACCATTTATGCTGCAGTTTCAAAACCCAACAAATCTGTGAAGTAAGCAAATTGGATGAAGCCTCATCAGATGTGAGAAACTAAAGCCACGCTTACACAGCTTTCTAAGAAGATTCCCAGTGATTTCACGGTCCTCTCGTGGGAGTCCACACACTTACATTTGGCGTTTCTCTCATGTGGTATGAAAGATGACTTTGGCCCACTGCTGAAGACAGCCAGTCTACCAGTCTACTATGTAAAGGATGAATCCAGTCTTTCATTAACAACTTTTTTCATACAATATTTTAGTTTATGCTAAGATACAGCCTTAAAATTGAGCAATTCCGGTCTTAGATGTCAGATTAGACACATTAGACACAACAGTGTCTAATACAGAAACTTTGTCATTATTTTGATGGGCTGGGTCAAGCCTTTTGCCGGCCCTAAGCAAGAATTTTTCTGAGCGACCCCCTTCTTGCTAGCTGATGTACTGTAAGATTAGAGGCAAATTAATGACAATGGCTACTACAAGCAGTCTAAATGTTTATTTTATATAAATTTAACAAGCTCATTTTATTGCTGATGATTGGATGTTTGTTTGGGGTTCTAATTAGTTAAATTACAGGTTCAAGTCCGCTACTCAGCATACAGAGGTGTGGACTCAAGTCATGTGACTTGGACTCAAGTCCAACTCGCGTCACAAATTTGATGACTTTAGACTCGACTCGAGAAAACTGAGAAAGACTTGGGACTCGACTTTGACTTCAACACCAGTGACTCAGACTCTGGTTCAGACTTGAGCCTCAAAGTGGAAGAAACGTGGAGAGAGTCTAACTGCAGATGGGACTCGACACAGTTGATTATTTTTCATGTGAATGGATTCGTTTTCTGCCGTAAACTGAATAAACAGCAACGCCATCAGGTGTCTGTTACTGTGTTTATGCTCGGTTTATTTCGGAAGACAAGAGAAGTGCTAGAGCTCGAGTTCGCTTCCATAAGCTGGAAACAAGTGAAGCATCAACAGCATTAGTGCGCCCTCGCTCGGCACTTAAACTCTATCTTACTGGAGAAACTGACCAGGCGAACTGACCCTTTTCCTCATAGTTAAACAAAAGAAACAGCTCTCTCTTTCTTAACAGCTTCTGCAGGTAAAACAAGGGCAACAAGCGACTTGTTATTCACCAGCTTCATAGTCGAATTTGCCGTTCCACCTTAAATAGTGCATTAGTGAGGTTCCAGAATGTAACTGCTGCACCATTTAAGGTGGAAAGAAAAATTCAAATAAGAAGCTGGTGAAAAAAGTCAACTTCAGCTTCATATATTCACCATCATTTTGCTATTTTTTCTGTAAACTTTGTTTAGGTTGGTCGTTTTGGTTTCTGTCATCTAGATTCAATTCAAACTAGCAGATTTTTAGTCAGCTGAACTGGTTCTTGTTTTAATCCTATGCACCCAATTTTCCCAAAAATCATCAAAAAATGTTAAAATTTTTAAATTAAGTTCAGTAGTACTTTTACAGTCCTTTTTATGAGTAGTTGCACTACTCTTTGTGTATAACAGTGTGCCTGTCATGGTTATCTGTGTACCATGGATTTTGTATTTTAGTTGGATGGGTAAAAAAAAAAAACAATAATAAAAAATGTATATACAGCCATACACTCACCATTATTATTATAATGTTAAATTAGCTGAAGAATGCACACTGACTGGTTTAGGACTCAAAGTTTAGGACTATTGATTCGGGACTCAACTTGAGACTCACCTGCATTGACTCGGGACTTGAATTGAGATTTGACTATCTTGACTCGGGACTTGATTCCCAAGACTTCAGACTTACTTGTTGCTTGCAACTTAGCGGCTTGTTCCCACCTCTGTCAGCATACCCCGGTTTGGTTGCGCCGTCCTCCCCTGCTGCAACACCAGTTCTTTGGCCGTTCTCTCCATCAGTGCAGCGAAACACTTCATAGCAACCAAGTACACAAATAATAGTGTGGGAAAAATGTGTTTGTGAATCCCAAATGTGAATCCTAAAGTGATTCGTTTTTTGTGAAAAACATCTCATATTATTCATTGGTGGATCTCATTTCTTTTGTAAACCGCATACTATTTATTTGTGAATCTTGTTTTATTTTTTATGGATCTTGTTATTTATTCTCAAATTATGAAACAAATATTACCCCTTAGACATACCTTACAGTCTGACACGCAGTGAAATTTAAGCTAACTTTACTAAGTGTTTTGAAGTTGGAGCTTGAAGTTGCCATATGACGTAAACTGAAGGCAGCAGGCAAAAAATGGTTTGGGCAGAGAAATTGCAGCACTGTGTAATCAGGCTGCTGTTTTAAAGCCATTTTCTAATATTGCAGATGCAACCAGACTCTGCTGTGCAGTGTTCTTCATATATAGAGGTTAAAATGTTTGAGTCAGGTCTGTGAAATACTGTAGATTGATGAATTTATGAAGTATCATCCTGTACACGCCTGTATCACAACTGGAGCTGTGAAGTGAAGTTTTTTTCTACTTTTGGGTTGCCTAAAATAATCCAGACTGATCAGGGTACTAACTTTTTTCCTAGACTCTTTGCACAAGTTATTGTATCATGCCTCTTCCGTTGTAAATATTATTCTTGTATCATACACTTTTGCAAGTGGCAAGCAAAGTAAAGAGCATTGACTGAAATCACAACTACTGTGTACTTGTGTCCTTCCCCTCCATCTCCCACCACATGCCACGTTATTTCCTCTCCACCCCTAGCTACATCTGAGGGGAACGTAACAACGCTGAACTAATGCACAGATATGCTTTAGCTTTACTCTAAAAGGACAGAGTTTGTAAGGGTTTGTAAGTTGTTCTTCTATTTTATGATGAAAATTTAGTTCAGTTCAAACACATCAACAAAAGCACAACATTACAAAAGTACTTCCACAAACACTTTACAGACAATACAGTATACTTAAGCAAATAGTATCATAAGAGGAAATTTGTCTTTCCAGTTAAAAATCCAGTAGATTCCAGGGGAACAGCTTCTTTCCTCATTGACTAGCTAGTCCAGGGCTGAATTTAGTCCCCAGTCCAGGCATGTTTTATAGGTTAAATTAAAGAGATCTACAGAACTTTCCGTAGTCCTCAACTGTTAAAACTTTAAATTCAACTTCAAAGGGTGCTTGTCAATGTAAGCATTCGAGCCTTGGGTTTACGGGATGTGGTTGGAGAGAGATTGGACAGTTGTTTTGCAGATTGCTGATAATTAAAACCCTCTCCCCTTAAAGGCAAAGAGGGCCAGACGATGCACACTTACAACAAGTCAGGGGGGTCACACATTCACATCCGTTTCTTTGTGTAGTTTGTTTCACCCCCTTTTAGCCTGTCTGTGTGACTTGGAAATATCCACACCTCATCTAATCATATAAAAGCCACAGCCACAAAGACAGAACAGTGGCACAACAGCACAAAGGTTAGGCAAAATTTAGCTCTGAGTCTGTGAAGCCAGCTGTTCTGAATACTGAACAGAGGACTTATAAATCTGGGCCATTTTTAAAAGATGATTTATGTCCTAACAAGTGTAGATAGTCTACCAGAGCCAGCAAGGCACGTTCATGTTCCTCTGGACTTGAGGAAGCTATCAATATGTCATCTATTTATTGTACTACCGTACTAGTCACTGTAGGAGCTTTAGATGAGTCTAGATGTTTATGTGTGGTTTGATGATAAGTAGTAGGTGAAATATGAAGTTCTTGTAGTAACCTGGTTCATTGGAATTGTTGAGAACCTACAGTAAAAGCTAGCTATGGTTGATAGTCTTCATGCACAGGCACTGACCAAAAAACATTTGCCATTTTGATTACAGAGAAAGCACAATGTTCAGGATGCAATCCATTAAAAATCTACCACAGGTGCAGTTTTTGTGATGTATTTGTTGGCTTCACGATAATCTACAACCAGGCCAAATGAATCCCCTTTCAGGGCTGGCCATAAGGCTGGTTATTGGGACTTTGGGTCAGAATCAATATACCCTGTCTAACCAAGTCCTCCTGACATTGCTGCATCACAGAGCCCACCACGGAAATCAACAGGATGCAGATGGGTGAAATTGCAAGAGCACATCCTAGTTTGCCCCCCCCCCTTCCCCCACAACAGAATTGGTGTAGTCTAATTTAGATTACTGTAATAAGACATGCATTGCCTTCGTCATGTACTAACACCAAAAGACTAAGCAAACATTTTCCATTGATACAGTTGAAAACCAGACCATAGGAACTATGGAATAGGAAATCAGGATTGCAAGTAATATACATCACCAAAATGATCCAACCGCAATTGTTTACTTTACTGTCAAAAGACAAGATGTAATTACAAAATTGCATGAATTGAATGTATCCCTTGTATTTTATTACGTGTCCAGCCTGGATAAGGGGTGTCTGGCCAGTATTTTTCCTCTCTCTCTCTCTCTCTCTCTCTCTCTCTCTCTCTCTCTCTCTCTCTTGCCTGTTCATTCTCTCTCTTTTCCCTCTCTGTTCTATGTTTCCCCCCTCGGTTGCTCCCTATCTCTGCTACATGTTGGCAGTGTCGTTCGTCATTAGGGGCTTGAGGTGTACCACTTGATGGCAAATCATCATGCAGAGTTCTGGCCCTGGAGGAGGGACTTGAACTTTAAAAGCAGCCCAGCAAAGCTCGTGAGGAGGCTGGCATTACCCCTGTGCTCCAAGCTGTTTTGGTGTGCTCCTAGCTGTAGTTGCTGTTGCAGACACAACAGCTTTCTGTTCTTTCTGCTCGTGCAGTTTTGTGTATGTCTGCAATAGCTTTGTCTGTGTATTGATGGAGTTTGTTCCGGTCATTTAAGCTTGTGCCTCGCACTGTTAATCACGCTAGCCTTGCTGTTTTACGGCTGTCTATGCTCTCTCTCTCCCTTTCTCTCTCTTTCATACGCTGCTTTGCTTTCTTGGGGTTCTGGACAGGTTAGATGGGTGCGCTCATACATTTTTACATCATGTAGCTGCCCATTGTATAGACACCTTAGGTAAGGGGCGCCAACCCATGTATTTATGTTATGCCATAGGGAAGACTAGTGTAGATAGTTTTTTTTGTTTTTGCTACTAGGTGAGGATTTCAATTAAAGAGCTAGGGTAGTTTTTTTTGTTTGTTTGTTTTGTTTATTTCTTTCCTTTAGCACCATCCTGGTTTGTGCTGCAAACATTACATCTAAACCGTATGTTACTGACCCCATTATCCCCTAGACTTTCTTGTGGGGTTGTAACATGTGGGGGCTCGTCTGGGATCCTTTATCCCTGCGTTTTGTTGTTTATGGTTTGACGTGAGCGTGTGGAGTACGAACCAGCTGGGACATTTATTTGGAATAGGCATTTGGTACTGATACCTGCTTATTACTGCAATTGGTGGCCTCTTCTTTGCTGCAGATAAGTACACATTTTAATATTTTTGTGCCTAGACATTTAGTAAAGAGAGAAATTAAACAACTTGTTATTGACAGGCTTGTAGAGCTGCGTGTTTTGCCTTTGACAGCTGGTACCTCCGCTCAGTGCTCGGAGCAGCCAGTGACCCCTGTTTCCAGAGGCAATTCCATTGCACAGAATCACAGCTCAGACCGTTGTAAAGGCTTTAATTAAGTTCTTCACTACATTTGGCCTTCAAAGAGTCATACAAATTGATCAAGGATCTAGCTTTACTTCTAAACTTTTTGCTCAGATTATGCAGTTATTGAGAGTTAAGCATGAAATGCCTAGCCCTTACCACCCTGAGTCACAAGGAGCGTTAGAAAGAACAGAAAGCTTTTGTGTCTGCAACAGCAACTACAGCTAGGAGCACACCAAAACAGCTTGGAGCACAGGGGTAACGCCAGCCTCCTCACAAGCTTTGCCGGGCTGCTTTAAAGTTCAAGTCCCTCCTCCAGGGCCAGAACTCTGCATGATGATTTGCCGTCAAGTGGTACACGTCAAGCTCCTAATGACGACCGACACTGCCAACGTGTAGCAGAGATAGGGAGCAACCAAGGGGGGAAACATATGGAATAGAGAGGGAAAAGAGAGAGAACGAACGGGCAAGCAAGAGAGAGAGAGAGAGAAAATACCGGGCAGGCACCCCTTATCCAGGCCGGACACATAACAATTTTATAATTGTTACAATTGTGAATTTGTT